TTTTTATGTGTTTTTGTAATATTTCAAGTAATCACGATCATGTGAGATGTCTCGTTGTAGTAACATTTGTAGAATGAATGAATTCACGTGTTTGTTATGAATGAAAAAGTAGTTCCGTCACAACATGACCTAACTGAGAGGTCATCGGTTATCCAATCAAATCGTTAGAATCTCAGGTCAAGTCGTTACGACACAGGTCAACGCGATACGACACACGTGTGACGTACGAGATTAGTATGCAACTCCCATACGTTGACCACGTGGGTAATAAAGTTTGATCTCACACAAGCGATATCTCCTGTGGAACACAGTTTTGGATGATAAACAAAGGAGTGTGTCGTCGTTATCCAGTTAATGCTACAGGTTTCTACCGCTACTGGCCCGTTAGTCAGTGACTAGTGAAAATCTAGAAGGTCTATACTTTATTCTCCTGGAATGCTGCATAAATTATTTGTACGGAATGAGGTGTGGTATAGTTGAGTTGGTAAAGCAATATGCTGGATGACGTGGGCCTATTGCAAACATTGCCCTGATGGTTATATACTCTTAAAAAAAAGTAGGGGAACCTGAAATTTCAAGTTGGATAGGAAGTATAAGCGTTAACAAACTTTTCAAAGAGAGACCATTTCTCTTTATCACCACCCCCTAAACACAACGCGTGAGACGCACCTGCACAACGCAGTAGCCCCTTCACGTGCATGGGGCGTTATTCTTGATTTGGCGGTTTTCAAGAAGGTCGATGAATCACTGCAGACCATTAGTTTTGACAATAATCTTGCATCACACAGTTGTTAGTGTTTGTTTCTAGCCGGATTTTTAAAAAAATATTTTTTGAAAATGAGAATCCTACACATGCAATTTTCACGTCATACACCAATCATCTTTCAAGAGCGATTACTGTACAAACAACTATGGTATGGTCATAAGGAAGTGCAAGTGGTGATGCACTCTCAAAACATTCATTATTATCATATTAACATTGATTGACTCCGATATATATAATTTCTTTTGCATTGTTATTTTTATCGGGATCTTAGATATCATTTTATAAATGGAGATTTTAAGTATGATAACAATATGCATGTATTAAGTATTTTAATGGCGTCAGACCCGCTAATTTTATCAACCACTGTGAATAACATGTTTAGAAGACGACTCCTATTCCTGTAAAAATTATTATCCATTTTAACTACTTCTTATACCTTACTCTAAAATGAAATGTATACAGTTATTAATTTGTGTATAGTGTCTCATAAGCCTTATTGGCTGGGTGAACGATATTTTACTGCGTCTATTGTGTATTTTATTTCATGTAATCGTTCACGTGACACTTTAATAAACTATATCTGTCTGTCTGTCTGTCTGTCTATCTCTCATTTTTCACTCGTAAAATAAAAATGAAGTTCCCCTACTTTTTTTCGAAGAGTATGTATAAAGGAAGAACCTCTGAGATAATTAGTGCAGTACATAATACTGCACAGTTTTTTTCAAAATCAGAGAAAATATGCCAATATTTCTTACACACACACACGCACGCACGCACACGCACGCACACACACGCCACTATTTCTTTCTGATTACAGAAAGTAGGCCAACTCACTGACTGTAATTCGGTAAAAGCGTAACCTTGGTGTGTAATCTAGTTCAGTCATTGACGAATTAACAATAGCATTACCAGGATCGATGCACATTTGCATACTGTGCATAGAGCTTACCGATAGCTCTCTGTGATCTGACATTTCAGGGACATAAAAGGAACTATTGTGCAAAGAAATTTGTTTGTTTGTATGTGTTTTCTAAGATAAAATACAGTGCAAGTCGGGACACAGAATTACTTCAAACGTCCACAAAGAGAATGATAATCAGTCTCCTAAGTCCCAGTGGGTTTGTCGTTATTCAACCATGGTAACTACTGGCGTTATTTTACCGTTTTAACTAATTTCGTTTTATTGTTGTTTCTACATGGCGACATCCATTTGCTCTGAAGTTAAACTTCACGAATGTGGTTCGCTGATTACTTCCGTGTACTTAAATCGTGTCACATCATGAACTTGAGATGGTCATAATGTTATAGTTTCCAAGTACATCACAAATTATGTGTATGGAAAAACCGAATCTGATTGGAATGCATTTATTTAATATTCAGTTGTGAATGGTTTGGTCTCATTGCGTATCGCGGCCATACCTTTAATACCATGGGCGGATATTGCGAATGGAAGTGTTAATTTTGTCCTAGTTATCTATTCTGTTCTTGATAACAGCGTAAAAATATACTGTGTTACAAATTCTGCTGAAAAGAACAGCATTGGACAGGCACCACCTGCTAGTCGAGGGGGATATCGTCTTGGTCCATTGTGGTATTGAGCATTGTGTTTGAGAAAGAGATTATTTGTATCGACCCCAAGCCGATTTAGGTTAAAACGCCGTGCTTGTTTCAACAGCAACAAAACAACCACCACCACCACAACAACAAGAACAACAGCAACAACCAAAGTAATCCCCAAATCGCTTTTATACACCATTTATCATGTAGGGCGTGGCTTGATTGAAGCGGAGGCTCTTCATGACAGAATTTGTGTGCGTTCTTTTGCACACATACATTTGTCTGATGATCGATTTTCTTTTGTGGAGCACGTCAAGGTTTACGAGGAAAACAAGACCTTCCACATTTTTTAAAACGACTTTCGACATAATCTCAATGTCAAAGTGTGTAAGATAAAACGAGGACCCCTTTAGAAGTCCTTACCTTCGTTGAAGTAGGCTGTGAAGCAGAAGACTTTCTCGTGGCTGCTCACGACCAGTTACTTCCCCCTGCATCTAAATGTACTATGAAATGTGGATTATGTAATGAATTAACCTTTTTTTCAGTAGATGCCCAGCGTTGGTACAAACACAGCATTGTAAGCGAAAATACGGCGTGGTTCCATTCTTTTGTTATATCGTGTACGCCATGCTTGTAGTTTTGACGCGGATTTCCATCCAGGATACGATCCACAATATGTTGAGGGCGTGATGGAAAATGACATAGAATTCTTTACACCAGTCACGCATACAGCCCCAACAGTATCCGGGTAAACACATCTTACCTTGTGTTTCTTAATGAATCTAATGGATTCATTTATATCCCAGAATACTCTTTACCTAATGTGATTGACAAGAACATGGTAAATATGGCACTTATGCCAATATAATAGCCAAAAGGTCAGGCGTTCAGTCCAACAAGCCCAACAAACACTGCCTTGTTTCTTGTGACGTTGCTGTCGTCTTAATCTTCATGTGGTTGCGAAAAGTATTCACTTATTTTCAAGGTATTGGTTTCTGAATGGTTGTCCTTTTAACTGAATCAGCGGTGTTGACAGGCAATCTCGACTGAAATGTTTTCATGAATATGTCTCTTCGTTTCGATAATGTCATATGTAAATAGAAGCGACAAAACCCCTTTCCACGTCCGTAAGAAATCTCTGCTAAAAGCAGAGTCGATTGTACAAAAGAATGGAAACGTGTAGGCATATGTACGTATGGTTAAAGCATAAGATGCCAGGCAAAAGAAAGTTTAAAACAGACAAAGTTTATGGATAACAACTTCTTTATTACGAGAGTGCGACGTTTCGATACAGATTCTTGTACCGTTGTCCTGCTTGACAACGGAACAGGAATCTGAATCGAAACGTCGCACCCTCGTCATAAAGAAGTTGTTATCTATAAAATTTGTCTATTTGTACTTCACAGTTTCTAAAATGCCACTCAAAGAGGTTAAAAGAAAGTCTACCCTTTTTGATTTGACCAATGCGTTACCCAAATATCTGTTCCCTGAAAACAGTTGCCGAAACACAGAGAACTTAATGACCAAAAGACATCTATAACATCCGTGCCAGTACATCAGCATCGCAAAATAGTTAATTATCTGGTTCATTTCAACCACAATCAAGCATAGATGTATACTTTACAGTATAAGGAATTCGTACATTTTCGCAATTAAATACCCGTGAAGATCCGGGTTAGAATTGATCTTCAGTAACCCATGCTTGTCGTATGAGGCGACTAACGATATCGGGTTGTCAGGCTCGCTGACTTGTAAACTCATGTCATCGTATAATGCGTAGATCGATGATCATGCTGTTGATCACTGGATTGTCTGGTCCAGACTCGATTATTTATAGACCTCCGCCATATAGCTGGAATATTGCCGAGTGCGGCGTAAAACTAAACTCACTCACTCACTTGCAAGTAAGACGCTTCATCCAACTGGCAGTGGGGTTATAGGACCACACTTAACGATCCATTGTAAACTTCCGACCATACCGTTAACATGTATGTATGATAATGTGTGATAAGATCCTAGTGACTTTTAGCCGTAATGTGTATTAATATTAAAATCACACCCACTCCTGTACACATTGTTTGCTTCGGAGAAACCTGTTTGTTGTTGTTTAACAATTCACTCACTCACTCACTCACTAGTCTCTTCTAGACCAGACAATCCAGTGATTGACATCATAAGCATCGATCTAAGCAATTGGGATACGATGACGTGCATCGACCAAGTCAGCGAGCCTAACCACCCAATACCGTTACAGCAAGCATGGGTTCCTGAAGACCAATTGATACCATTATCTTCTCAGTTACAGTGATACTTGACTGTGGAGTGTTATTACCATGCGGGACGGTGGGGTAGCCTAGTGGTTAAAGCGTTGGCTTGTCACGCCGAAGACCTGGGTTCGATTCCCCACATGGGTACAATGTGTGAAGCCCATTTCTGGTGTACTCCGCGTTATATTTTGAAATATTGCTAAAAGCGGCGTAAAACCATATTCACTCACTTATTACCATGCATATAACAGTAGACGGAGTATATCAATATTTAATTTACTGTGATGTTTCCCCTCAGTTACAGATCTACCCTCAATGCATCAGAAGTGTTACTATGTGTAGTGTTGGTAGACCCGTGTAGCGTATTGATCTATTCTGCAGGGAACGCTGCGTCTATACCAGGGCGTAAACGCACTTGCTCAGACGTTTTTCGTCTGTCAGAGAGCATGGTTCTTCTGATCGGATTATCTTGGTTGCTGAGTTTGGTAGGAGGTAAGATATAGTTACTTTTGAACTGTTACGTATCTTATAACCACCCGTGGAACTCGGGGTTGAGTATATCCCAGTAGGATTCTCATGATGGTAGTTTTTCTTCGGGTAGTCCGACATTGTGGCATTGCACGTCGTGTGTCACTGTAATCAATCTGTTTGGCTCTAATCGAGTAATTTCATGTAACCAAGATTTAACGTGTATATATCTGACGGTTGCAAAAAATAAGAAATGTAAATTAATTTCAACTGTTGTAATTTTAGAAATCGTAAAAGTAACACGTTTATATTTCACGTATAACTGAAACATTTAGAAATATACTGAACTGATAGTGGGGGCGTGGGGTCCTGTGCACAGAGCTCTGGCCCCGATTTCTCGAAACAAACTTAAGTCTGAATTTTGACTTAAGTTAAAGTTTTTACTCAAATTTGAGAAAATGCATTTCGCAGAATGAACTGAAATCGATATTAAACTCAAACATAGTAGACAATTTGAGTTTGGTGGATAGATTACTTAAGTTGTTTGGGCTTTTTTTATTTTAATTATAAAATGCAGTTGAGTTCAGAATTCAGCTGTTTAAAATTGTCAAACTCAGTTTGAAATTTAGTAAAAACTTAAGTTTGTTTCGAGAAATCGAGGCCGGGTTTGGCAGCTTGACTCCTGGGAATTCCTAGGACTTCAGTCCTGACCCACAAAGAAGCACATGTGATACATGTGGTCTCACCTTAGGCAAGTGAGCGTGTTCAAGATTGCCTCTGTTCACCCAGCAGAAAATGGGTACCCGGTGAGATAAGTCACGTGACTATTAACCTTCTGGCGCCTTACAGGCAGCTTGGGTTATCCGGGGTAATAATAATCAGATTCTGATTACAGCGTCCAGTGAGCAACTAAGATGGATACTAGGCGCTATATAAATGCATTATTATTTACAATATTACCCAAAAATATTACCAATTACAGCCCAAACGAATAATAGAAAATCTAGTGCTTAGATAAAGTATATATACGGGAGACCCGAAGGGAATTCCGAGTTAGGCCCTTAGAAAACTAGGAGGCGATTCAGTTGTGTTAAATTAGGTGATACGCCGATTTGGTTGGCATTCCCAACGGCACCCGTCGTGCTCCCCTGCAATATCAAATCAAATGTCAAAGTTTACCGAAAAAACATAGTAAATGCTATATTTTCAAATGGACGTCATCTGTGTGAAATTAAGAGAGTGGACATTTAGGTAAGAAGATGCATGGCACCCCGATAGCACCAAGCGAGGTCCCCTCTTGTCTGATATTTGTTTAAGAGCTATACACATCTGTATTTCTGTCCAGATTGACAAAATTAGCGCAAGGGATTTGACCAATATATACTCTCCCAAGAAAGAAACGCATCATGAAAATAGCAATTTCACGTAGCAATGAATTAAAACGTGATTCATTTTACAAAAGGTTTTGCTCTGTTTATGAGTCCTATGGTGTTTATGTTTTGAAACATCACAACAAAACGCACAATCCGTAAACTACCCGTATTTAACAGCATGATTTTCAATTTCGGCGTGTAGTGTCATAGAATACACAATTCACATGCAATGCACGTGAAAGTTGGGGATCAGATAGTCTAAATGATGGGTATAAAAGGTTGATTGCTGTCTGTCGATTATTCACTGTATTTGGAATATTGTTGACGAACGCAAAATGCCACGTCTAAGTGAAGCCAACCGTCATATCGCCATTGGTTTGCTTGAAGCTGGCCAGTCTCAACGTGCAGTTGCCCAACGCATGAATGTTCACCAAAGCACCATTTCACGGCTCTTGGAGAGATATCGCCGGCAGAATGCGGTAGCAGATGCCCCTCGTAGTGGGCGACCTCGAGCGACCACTGCGGCGCAGGATCGCTACATCCGGGTACATCACCTGCGTCATCGAACAGCTACGGCGACCAGTACCGCTCGACAAATACCCGGATTGTAGAGGCTTTCTGCACAGACCGTCAGGAACAGGTTGAGAGAGGCTGGTTTACGTGCCAGAAGACCTTATTTTGGCCCTGTGCTTCGACAACAACATCGTCGACATCGTGTTCAATGGTGCACCAACGTTCAGGCCTGGAACCTACCGAATTGGCGTAGAATCTGGTTCAGTAATAAATCACAATTTTTATTGGAACGACGCGATGGAAGAATGCGAGTGTACAGACGTCGATGTGAACGTTTCGCCGACGCTTGCGTTCTCCAGGTGGACAGATTCGGCCAGGGCAACCTGACAGCTCAACGGTACTGTGACGAAATCCTACGCCCACACCTTTTTCCAATCATTGATCGCCAGAGGGAGTTGTTTCAGCAGGACAATGCCAGGCCCCACACAGCACGTCACACTAGAGACTTCCTCCAGACCCACAACATCAATGTGCTCCACTGGCCCTCAAGATCACCGGACTTAAACCCGATCGAACATCTGTGGGATGCCCTGAACAGACGGGTCCGACGCCGTAACCCTCAGCCCCAGACACTTCAGCAACTCGCACAGGCACTACAGGCAGAGTGGCCTGCGATTGGGCAACACGAGATTCTGAGACTTATTCGTTCGATGCCGAGTCGATGCCGTGCAGTTCTGGATGCCCACGGTGGTCACACGAGGTATTGACTTCCGCGCCACCACACGTCTCCATGTGACACTCAAACTGACTTTCCTCGAGTTGGTGCCAAAGACGGATAAGTCTGCATTCCCAGTGTGCAATTTCGCTATATTTCATGGACTCATAAAGCCTACAAGATGTTTCAAAATAAACATAAAAATACAGTTGAAATTCCTATATGCGTTTCTTTTTTGGGAGAGTATATTTAACATATCAATAAGCTTCAACTACACCGATGATCTGATATGGTTCAATAACCTAACCTAACCCTCGCTAGAGTAAACAAAAAAATGGCGATCAAGCGATCTTAGCGTTAAGATCAGTATAACTCCTATACCTTAAAGGTCACATGCAACGTAAAACACAACTTTCCAGATTCTGATACCTTTCGGTATGGACTTACAGTAACAAATGATCAAAAATGCAAATTCAACTTATAAAGTTGAAAAATAACGCGATGAAAAAAACCCCGCGAAATCGGAGTTCAAACGATTCACCCCAGCTGGGTCTAATACCCATCTAAGCTCTAAGATTGTTTTGTACAACGGTCTCCAGCACTGGAACTGAAACTGACAAGTTATCTTATCTATGTAAAAAGCGTTAGAATACCTTATGTAGAATGACATCAAATGTTTCTTTCAGAACACTTAAAATGGCATATTGAACACTTGCTCGTGATATCGTCCGAACTGTAGAATCGACCCGTGCGAATTTAGAGAGAAGTTAGCCGCTTCCATTCAAACAATTATTTACTCTGAAACCATTTACGTTTACCTTATTTATCACAATGATAACTGATGTTGAAATTATATGATGGCATGGGCCATACCAAATAGGTGTCATTAGTATCAGTTCCGATATCATTCCCCGTGAAAATCTTCTTCAGTATCCCATGCTTGTCTTAAGAAGCGACTAACGGGATCGGGTGGTCAGGTTCCCTGACTTGGTTGACACATGGCATCATATCCCCATTGCCTAAATCGATGCTCATGTTGTTGATCACTGGATTATCTGGTCCAGACTGATTATTTACAGACCTCAGCCATATAGATGGAATATTGCTGAGTGCGGCTTTATACAAACAACAACAACAAAAAAGAACCACACACTCCAAAAGTTCCGATGAATTTATTTAGATCATTGAATTTTCGGTACATTTTGACAGCAACGTGATCGGCAAGATTCAGGAAAAGCAGACTAAATATGCGGACCTCGCCTTTGAAATGCCTCGCTTGCATCTCAAGTACACTGTCGTCAGACTCCCCATTGTTCTCGGTGCCTTTGGTTTGGTACCTCCTGATCTCTTGGCACAGATCAGGAGAGTGCCCGGGTTCTCCACCGGGAGCATATCCCTTGTGACACTCTGGGTAATGCAAAAGACTGCAGTGTTCGGGAGTCTACATATTCTCCGGAAGGTTCTTGGTGGGTTCGACTAGGCAGCGTTTCCTGGGAGAAGTCCCATTCGCTGTCTGGGCTGCGTGTAGAGAGGGCAATGGCCCTGAGCTCATGGTGAGCCTTACCAGCCTGACTGCCAGGATCACACGAACTCTCTCTGCTGCATTTTCATCTTAATCTGTAAAACAAAATAATATATATTTATTAACAATGCGGAAACTGTCGTGCACAGAAAACTAAGATAATACACTCTTTAAAAAAAAGAAACGCATAGGTGATTTTGAGAATATTGGACTCATGTAGCTGCGTCAAAAATAAAACACATACACCATTTCTTTCAAAACGCCATCTCTGTGTGATTGGGAACAGTTTCAGAGCCAAAACGTGGCAATTTTAACTTTCCCCCTTGTTTTAGAACTGTTTGAATAAATATTCGCCAAAACTTCGCCAAGAAAACATGCAAAGCAAAATGCACGTGCAAATAAGCGGAAAATCATGTCTTATCGATCTCTATAAAAGGCAAACGTTGTGTTTAATTTTGTTATTCGTTTAAACTTTTGTCTGGAAAAGAGGAAATCATCAGGATATGAGTGCCGCCAACTGAAACATTTCCGACCAAACCGTCAGGAATCGGGACTCGACCAAGAAGGCCAGTTGTCAGCCTTGATTTGAGAGACTTCTACACGCCTGCGGGCGTGTCGTAGAGTCCGGAACTGGAACTGGAGCCGAGTCTGGTTCAGTGATGAATCACAATTTCTTCTTCACCGTCGAGATGGAAGATGAGATGGAGAAATGTATGTTTGGTCCCTAATTGCATTCAGCATGTCGACAGATTTGGGGGAGGAGGTGTCGTGGTGGAGGGTGCGATATCCAGCACATAAAGATCTGATTTAGTGGTGGTTCAGGGGAGTTTGACAGCAAAGCTGTACATCAACGAAGTCCTTGCACGTCACACGCCAACAGAAGTTGTTCCAGCACGACAAT